TTTGATCCTGTGGCCTATAGGATTGAACCGATGGTGGTCCCAGGAGTGGAATTTGAGCCAATGCTGATCCCACATCATAAAGGCAGGAAGCGAATGCACTTAGGTAAATCTGAGTACAGAACTTGTAATTCTAGACTGTCTGGTCATTGCAAACTGACTGGACCTTATTCACTTTAACTGTGTTGGACCCTAAACTCTTTGTAAACCATGTAATGTTCTTTATTCAAATATGTTTCAGAATTGAGAGAGGGCTTGACCAGAATGAGTATGGACCTTAAGAACAACTTGCTAGGTTCACTGCGGATGGCCTGGAAGTCTTTCACCAGAGCTCCATACCCTGCCTTACAGGCTTCAGAAACTACAGAAGAAACTGAAGCAGAATCTGAATCAAGTTCAGAGAAGCTGAGTGGTCAGTGATACTGTACACTTTGATATCCTACATTAGGTCAGATAAGAGTAACTCCATGGTGTGTATTTCTTACTCATGGTATAGGACCAATACAATGAGCCCTAATGGGCCTTCAGTTCTGCTAGTCTTTTCTATTATCTAATAGTCACAAATTATGGAAAAACATTATTTGTGAGGAAAAATGTCAAGAGAAGCTGAATACCTGGTAAAGAGGTTTTAAAAGACAACCCTCACTTGGACACTCTTGGGGTTGTGTTAGGTGGCTCCTCTGTGAAGCACCTTGCTTTAACAGGGCAATCAATGTCTGTGTATTCATTGGTCAGTTTTATTTGCCTGGCTGGGCACTAGCTAGTATACTCTCCTCTTAATTTCACAGTTAATGTTGCATTCTTTTTGCTTTAATTTTCAACTGCCTAAAGATTTCTATCCCTACTTACATTTAGTTTATAAACCAGAGGCAAATGAATAAGCTATCAGAGGTAGAGGAAAGAAAAAATGGGATTGAACAAAATCAGTGTGACTTGAGGAGAAGCTTTAAGGGGCTTGAGAGGAAAAAGGTGCAGAAAGCTTTCTGAGCAGAGATTACCTCATCCTACTGTAAACTTGGTAGTCTGAGGGGAAGTAAGGACAATCTTGGAGGGCTGGAAGCTTTTAGATTGTTATTATGGTTCTATGTCCAGATGTTAACACAGAAGAGACCCCTGTGGCAGTTAAAGAAGAAGTCCCACCCATCAATGTGGGAATGCTGAATGGAGGCCAGCGCATTGACTATGTGCTACAAGAGAAGCCCATTGAAAGTTTTAATGAATATTTATTTGCTTTACAAAGCCATCTGTGCTACTGGTAAGTGATGTTTGTTTTTGTTTCTTGGTGGGTTTTTTTTTTTTTTTTTTGGTCTAATTGTTGCACAGCTATTTGATAGATATAGAAAAGGGAGGATAGGTTAGTGTACATTTGGGATTAGAGTGATTTCTCATTTAGACAGTTACAAAATAACAAAATAATGTCATTTAAAGAAATCTGGTTTAAACATGTTTTACTTTGCAGTTGGGTAGAGCATGGGCTAATGATGCCAGCAACCATGAGTTCAGCTAGCTTAGTTTTATTTTATTCTATTTTTTAAGATTTATTCATTTGAGAGAGAGAGAGAAAGAGCGCACAAGCAGGGAGAGAGGGAGAGGGAGAAGCAGACTCCCTGCTGAGTAGGGACCCCCCCCCCCCCGACTTGTGGCTCGATCCCAGGACTCTGAGATCATGACC